CCATCTTCTCATATGCACTAATCGTGTCCATCTTGGTTTGTATACTCTCTATCGAGGGGATTAGTTTACTCTTCCAATTTCCAGCTAAGACTATTTTTGCTACAGTGAGTATGTTTAAAATCACTTTCTTGTGGGGATAAACATTGATTCCGGAGATAATATGAAGTAGATACTTTTATTAGCTTAGTCTTATGAAAAATCATGCTCTGAACACGTTTCCAGAAATCTCCCAATTTGGGACAATCCCAGAACACGTGAAGCAAAGTTCCCACTACTGTTTCGCATCTCCAACATAACCCTGTCATGCCATTGTACATACGCGCTAACCTTTGATGTACCATATATATATATATATATATATTTTTTTTTTTAATCAATATCATTGTATGTATATTTTGATATTAATATATATTTATAATTCTATATATATTAAAATACACTTAGACAGTGTATGTGTATGTATGTATATGTGTATATATACTTAGATCATATATATAGTGATGTCGCGAACCCGAAATTTTCGGTTCGCGAACGGCGAACGCGAACTTCCGCAAATGTTCGCGAACCGGCGAACCGCCCGAAACGCCATTGACTTCAATGGGGAGGCGAATTTTAAAACACACAGGGACTCTTTCTGGCCACAATAGGGATGGAAAAGTTGTTTCAAGGGGACTAACACCTGGACTGTGGCATGCCGGAGGGGGATCCATGGCAAAACTCCCATGGAAAATTACACAGTTGATACAGAGTCTGGTTTTAATCCATAAAGGGCAGAAATCACCTAACATTCCTAAATCACAATCAATATGGATTGACACCTGACATATGACATATTGACACCTTGACATATGGATTGACACCTGTCCTCAGAGCCCCTGATGCACACGGACACAGAGCAGAATAGAGACTGGTCCCCCTACATAGGGTCACTTGGCAGATATGGATTGACACCTGTCCTAAGGATCCCTGATACACACTGACACAGAGCAGAATAGGGACTGTTCCCCTACATCGGGTCACTTGGCAGATATGGATTGACACCTTGTTACAAACTGCTATTTGTAACGGGCCCTTTAAATGGCAAATTGCCCTGTTTCCCTGGGTTGTGGAGAAGCCTCTTTGCCAGCCTCCTCCCGCATGACTATGGCCCCTGGGAGATTGTGAAAATGTATGCACTTTTATTTGGTGTGTATGGCCCTTTAAGACTGTCGGTGGGCATATTGGGGCTTATGGACTCTTTATGTGACTGGTGCTGGCCCTTTAAACACCTTTTTTGGGACATCAGGAAGATTGGGACACTGCCCCTTTAAGGCCGTGTCCCCAGACTTGTTGGGGACACGGCCCCTTTAAGACGGTGTCCCCTGTGTCCCCAGACCTGGTGCAAACCCTTTGTGCCTGCCTTGCTATTTCCCACTTGGTTCAGTAAATGGGAAATTATTTCAGCTGCAGAGACTAAGTCCCATTCGGCGATGGGACTTAGTCTTTTTTTCAGCCGTTTTTTTCAGCCTTATTTCAGCTGCAGAGACTAAGTCCCATTCGGCGATGGGACTTAGTCTTTTTTTCAGCCGTTTTTTTCAGCCTTATTTCAGCTGCAGAGACTAAGTCCCATTCGGCGATGGGACTTAGTCTTTTTTTCAGCCGTTTTTTTCAGCCTTATTTCAGCTGCAGAGACTAAGTCCCATTCGGCGATGGGACTTAGTCTTTTTTTCAGCCGTTTTTTTCAGCCTTATTTCAGCTGCAGAGACTAAGTCCCATTCGCGATGGGACTTAGTCGTTTTTTCAGCCTGAAATAGACCGACACCAAATGTACATTTAGAGGTACAGCTTTCATCAGTTGTTTACTGCTCGGATCCCAAGAGTGTGGATTACAACTCATATTTAGACCATTGCGTTTACTGTAGTTTGTCAATTTACTGAGTGTAGTCAGTAGCACCAGTTTTGTAACACACATACTAAACTTTCTGTAATCAGTTATCCTTAATTAGTGATGTCGCGAACCCGAAATTTTCGGTTCGCGAACGGCGAACGCGAACTTCCGCAAATGTTCGCGAACCGGCGAACCGCCCGAAACGCCATTGACTTCAATGGGAGGCGAATTTTAAAACACACAGGGACTCTTTCTGGCCACAATAGGGATGGAAAAGTTGTTTCAAGGGGACTAACACCTGGACTGTGGCATGCCGGAGGGGTATCCATGGCAAAACTCCCATGGAAAATTACACAGTTGATACAGAGTCTGGTTTTAATCCATAAAGGGCAGAAATCACCTAACATTCCTAAATCACAATGAATATGGATTGACACCTGACATATGACATATTGACACCTTGACATATGGATTGACACCTGTCCTCAGAGCCCCTGATGCACACGGACACAGAGCAGAATAGAGACTGGTCCCCCTACATAGGGTCACTTGGCAGATATGGATTGACACCCGTCCTAAGGATCCCTGATACACACTGACACAGAGCAGAATAGGGACTGTTCCCCCTACATCGGGTCACTTGGCAGATATGGATTGACACCTTGTTACAAACTGCTATTTGTAACGGGCCCTTTAAATGGCAAATTGCCCTGTTTCCCTGGGTTGTGGAGAAGCCTCTTTGCCAGCCTCCTCCCGCATGACTATGGCCCCTGGGAGATTGTGGAAATGTATGCACTTTTATTTGGTGTGTATGGCCCTTTAAGACTGTCGGTGGGCATATTGGGGCTTATGGACTCTTTATGTGACTGGTGCTGGCCCTTTAAACACCTTTTTTGGGACATCAGGAAGATTGGGACACTGCCCCTTTAAGGCCGTGTCCCCAGACTTGTTGGGGACACGGCCCATTTCAGACGGTGTCCCCTGTGTCCCCAGACCTGGTGCAAACCCTTGTGCCTGCCTGGCTATTTCCCACTTGGTTCAGTAAATGGGAAATTATTTCAGCTGCAGAGACTAAGTCCCATTCGGCGATGGGACTTAGTCTTTTTTTCAGCCGTTTTTTTCAGCCTTATTTCAGCTGCAGAGACTAAGTCCCATTCGTGATGGGACTTAGTCTTTTTTTCAGCCGTTTTTTTCAGCCTTATTTCAGCTGCAGAGACTAAGTCCCATTCGTGATGGGACTTAGTCTTTTTTTCAGCCGTTTTTTTCAGCCTTATTTCAGCTGCAGAGACTAAGTCCCATTCGGCGATGGGACTTAGTCTTTTCTTCAGCCGTTTTTTTCAGCCTTATTTCAGCTGCAGAGACTAAGTCCCATTCGGCGATGGGACTTAGTCTTTTCTTCAGCCGTTTTTTTCAGCCTTATTTCAGCTGCAGAGACCTTCGGGTCCATTAGAGCGTGGGACAGTGCCCTCAGCTGCTATTTCAGCTGCAGAGACTAAGTCCCATTCAGTGATGGGACTTAGTCTTTTTTTCAGCCGTTTTTTTCAGCCTTATTTCAGCTGCAGAGACTAAGTCCCATTCGGCGATGGGACTTAGTCTTTTTTTCAGCCGTTTTTTTCAGCCTTATTTCAGCTGCAGGGACTAAGTCCCATTCGGCGATGGGACTTAGTCTTTTTTTCAGCCTTATTTCAGCTGCAGAGACTAAGTCCCATTAGCGGGACTTGAGTGGATTTCAGCCTGAAATAGACCGACCTCACAACCCAAATCTATGGAACTGTTTTGGGCAGGAAAATGTGCTTGCGGTCGGTCATAAAGGGACCTCCAGCTAACTTTTTAACCCCTGGATGGATTTGGCTGATTTTTGGTTATGTTTTATGTTTTAAGTGTGCTGATTCCAAATATGTAATTATGAAGATGGGATGTGTAGTTTTAAAGTTACAGGGTATGGCTAAAAACTGTATTTTTACTGCCTGTGTTTAATTATGTTAATCTCTTCCCAAGCGTCATTTCGTTCAAAGTGGAGAGAATGTTAAAAAAATATATTTTTGTTAGGAGTGTGAGAAATGCTTTTCAGCCGCTTCTAATCTTAAGCATCATTTGAGGAGCCATACAGGAGAGAAACCTTATTTGTGGTGTGTTTAGTATTGTTCTGATCAGTTTAATACCTTCCATCGTCTATCGGTGGGCGTGTATATGGCAACCATTTAGGAACCATTACACCTGGGACCCGAGCAAAGGTCACCTTTACTCGTTCAACGGCTGACAACATTTGTCCATGAAACTTATCCTGGACATTCTGTTAATTTGTATGGATATGGTGATTTCTGCTTGGGGATGGAAGAGGCAGAATTGGTCCTCTTACTGCAAATTTGGGGGCACTCTTGGCGGTCAAGCTAATGTGCCACCAGATAGGAGTGGTGTGTTTAGTATTGTTCTGTTCAGTTTAATACCTTCCGCGTCTCCTATCAGTGGACGTGTACACGGCATTGATTTTGTAACAGGGAGATGGAAGGAGAGGCTTGGTCGGTCCTCTTACTGCAAATTTGGGGCACTGCGCGGTCAAGCTAATGTGACACCAGATAGGAGTGTAGTGTTTAGTACTATTTTTATCAGTTTAATACCTGTGTGTGAAATGCTTTTCAGCCGCTTCTAATCTTAAGCATCATTTGAGGAGCCATACAGGAGAGAAACCTTATTTGTGGTGTGTTTAGTATTGTTCAGATCAGTTTAATACCTTCCGCGTCTCCTATCAGTGGACGTGTATATGGCAGCCATTTTAGGAACCATACACCTGGGACCCGAGCAAGGTCACCTCGTTCAACAGACAACATTTGTCCATGGAAAACTATCCTGGACATTCTGTACAATTGTATGGATATGGCAGTGATTTCTGTAACAGGGGAGATGGAAGAAGAGGCTTGAGTAGGTCTCTTACCTGCAAATTTGGGGCACTCTTGGCGGTCAAGCTAATGTGCCACCAGATAGAGAGTGGTGTGTTTAGTATTATTGTTCTGATCCAGTTTAATACCTTCCGCGTCTCCTATCAGTGGACGTGTACACGGCATTGAATTTTGTAACAGGGAGATGGAAGAAGAGGCTTGGTCGGTCCTCTTACTGCAAATTTGGGGCACTGCGCGGTCAAGCTAATGTGACACCAGATAGGAGTGGAGTGTTTGGTACTATTTTTATCAGTTTAATACCTGTGTGAGAAATGCTTTTCAGCCGCTTCTAATCTTAAGCATCATTTGAGGAGCCATACAGGAGAGAAACCTTATTAGTGGTGTGTTTTGTATTGTTCTGATCAGTTTAATACCTTCCGCGTCTCCTATCAGTGGACGTGTATATGGCAGCCATTTTAGGAACCGTACACCTGGGACCCGAGCAAGGTCACCTCGTTCAACAGGCGACAACATTTGTCCATGGAAAACTATCCTGGACATTCTGTACAATTGTATGGATATATGGCAGTGATTTCTGTAACAGGGAGATGGAAGAGGCTTGAGTAGGTCCTCTTAATTCATCAAATTGGGGGCACTCTTGGCGGTCAAGCTAATGTGCCACCAGATAGAAGATGGTGTGTTTAGTATTGTTCTGATCAGTTTAATACCTTCCGCGTCTCCTATCAGTGGTCGTGTACCCGGCATTGATTTTTGTAACAGGGAGATGGAAGAAGAGGCTTGGTCGGTCCTCTTACTGCAAATTTGGGGCACTGCGCGGTCAAGCTAATGTGACACCAGATAGGAGTGGTGTGTTTAGTATTGTTCTGATCAGTTTTAATACCTTCCACGTCTCCTATCAGTGGTCGTGTAC